GAAGCCCAAAATCTCTGTAAATGTTTATGAAAATTAATAAAATATAATTATAGAAAAAAAAAGAAAAATAATTACCAATTACAATAGCTAACCAAGAAGATGAAATACTTAGGAACAAAAAGACCTATACAGAGAAAATTATAAACATTACTACAAGAAGCAGAAAGAAACCTAGAGAAATGATGCATATTCATGGATAGCAAGAATCAGTAGCATGAAAATGGAAATTCTACCAAAAGCAATCTACAAGTTTGAGAAAGTCTCCATATTGATACCATTTCCATTCTTCAACAAGATGAAAAAAAAAAACCAACAACCAAAAAAAGCCCACAAGATGAAAAGGCCACTTCCATTTTTCCCCCCTTCTTTTCCTGGAGTAGAAAGAGACCCTGAATAAGCGAAGCACTATAGAAAAAGAAAAACAAGACAGTAGACATCACACTTCCTGATCTCAAATTCTACTACACAGCTATAGTAATTAAGACATCATGATACTGGTATAGCAACAGACACATAGATCAATGGAATACAATAAAACCCCCCAAAATCAGACTAGAGGACCTATAAATCAGTTCATCTACCTGTGGAGACAAAATCAGTTAAGTGGGAAAATGACAGTCTCTTTAATAAATGATTCTAGCAAAATTGGAAACCAGATGTAAAAAACTCAAGCAAGATTCACACCTTCAGTGATTTTTTTAGAGCTTATAAATTGCTTTTCTTTCTCTCATAAAATAGCCGGGTGGTGGATTTGAACCTCCTGCTACTGTGTTTGCAGCACAACTCAGCATAACTCCTCAAGCAGTAGGTCATCAAAAAGACATTAAGAATGCAAGCTTTTTCAACAGTAACATTAAAGTAAAACAATTGTTGCTGTTGTTGTGTACCATTGATTTAGAACCCTCCATTAGGTTTTCAACAGCAGTAATAGTAGGTTTTCAAAGGCAGTAAATAGCTTTGAAAATTGTCCATCTTTTTCCCATGGAGAACCTGTTGGATTCAAACCACATACCTTCAGGTTTCCCTCAGGTTTGCTTTCAAGTTTGCCTTCAGATTTAGCATGAGCTTCTTTCAACTAGGCCATCAGTATTCCCTAAATTGCAAAAATAGTTTTGTTGTTGTCTTTGTAGGCCATGAATTAGGACAAATCATAGGATTTGGATTTTTAAATCATAGGATTTAATCATAATCAAAGGATTTTTAAATCTAAATCCTCCAGAGGATTTCCAGAGGTAGTAAATTACATGAGAGGAGGTTGTCCATTCTTTTCCCAATAAATAGCTGGTGGATTCAAACTGTGTACCTTTGAGATTACAGTGGAGATTCTTAAAACTAGTCTAAGAGAACAGATAATAAATTTAAATTAAGCATGTATTTTTTAAAAAAAACTGCTATCTATTACACTATCTAAGCTCTAAGTGTTGCACAGGTACCTATATTATTTTGATGGTCTTAAAATATCATGCTGGAAAAGGCAAAGCATTAAAGAAAGGCCTCCAACAAAATTAATTGACGCAGAATGGACTGGAGCATATGAGTAATCATGAAGATAGCCAACGAAATGTGAACTGAACTCATAGATTATCAATTATAGGCACCCACAACCACCGCCAAAACCAATTCCATTGGTGGCACTTTTTAAAAAAATAAAATTGTATACAGATCCCAGAGAAATCAGATAGACAAATATAATGAGACACTTTCAAAATCGCTTAGAATTATTTAGACTTTTTTAAAAAAGAAAATGAATATTTTGTTTGTAGATTCTTGGAAATACCTCCCTAGACCTCTGATAAATTTCATGGTGTGAATTCAACTCTTCTCTTAAAATATCTTTGAAAATATGCAGACTTGACTTTTCTGAAATAAAAAAAAAGTAATACTTTTTTGGCTTCTAATACACATTTGGCTTCTAATAATACATTTGTTCTGTGAACAAATCTATTTTCTAACTTAGAAAGTCTGTTGCTAGCAGGGATATAAGATTTAAGAAAACAAAGAAAGTCTATAATTAATTTTTTTAAAGTTGCCCTCTGTAAGCAAAAATAAATATTTTTTCCAGATTTAAAATCTAAATAGGCCAAAATACTTCTTAAAATAGTCTCAGTTTGTGACTCAAAATGTTAATTGAAAATAGCCATATTTTACATAGCACAAATTGAAGGACAGAAATGTTGTGAAGTGTAAAAGACAAACCACAACTTTTTCTGACTCTTTCCATTTCTAGCGTTTTGTAACATCGCATTTGCTACAGACTTATAACAAGCTGTTATTTTTTTTTACTCTGACCATTTCTGAAATTGTGAGGTTAGAAAGAATAAAGAAGGATATAATCAGCTTTTTCTTTGCCTTAAATTCACCTTGAAGGCCTGAATGTTTCTTTGTAACTTATTACAGAGTTTTTTGACTTAAGAAAAACCTTCCTATAACCACATACTAAATGGAAGAAAACAAACTGCCTCACCTTTTTTTAATAAAGAGGGAGGAGCAAAAGGTTAGAGACCTTTTTACACTAAAACTCACCAGACTGTGACAATCCAACCAAAGACAAATTACGGAATTTCTTTTGTTGTGAGTGCATCTGATTGCTTATTTTATTTTCAATCTAATGAGAGTGTACATTTTTCTCTGCTTGATGTGCTGGGCAAGATCAGGTAAGATACATATTAATAATTAGACTTATCTGAAAACTGGTAAATAAAAGTTCAGTCTTTTGTTTATTGTGATATAAACAATGTTGGGACACTTGTATAAAAATATATGGGCACTAATTATACTGAGCATAGATTACAATGTAGAAAGCTTATGTGTCGGAAAAATGGTAACTTTTATATTTTATTTTTTTTCCAGAAAATTAATAGAAAATTTTTACTAGAAACTATAGAGTACAGATAAAAATACCGGAGATAAAAAGAATAATCTGTATGTAACAGAGATGTTAATTTGATATTTGAAAATTACACCTTAACAAATTTACTTTCTTATGTTCAAATAACAAATTGAAGTAAATTTTTATATAGGTCAATTAACAATTACAAAATATACAGAGAATCATTTGCTAAGACATTTTAAAATGTCTTTTTCTTTTTATCTGGTTTGGAATAATAATCTAGAACTGGTTTATGGTAAGAGCATGTACTAATTTTGATAATATCATTTATTGTTTTATGATAGTAGTTGAACTATTTGTTCTACTTGGTGGTAATAAAAATGTAACATTCAAAATTCAGATGAATAGTTTTCTTGTAGAAATTTCGCAGAAGTGGTAAAATTTTTTGTATATTTATGTTTCTCTTATCTTAAATAAAATCTTGAATATCCTTGTATTACTTTAAAATATTAACCATAGATTCATATTGTTTCTTTTATATTTTTAGTTACATATTTTTACTAAAAAGAACTTCAGGAAATGCTAACTTTTGAAAATTTACAATTCAGATGACACCAATTTCCAGTTTATTATTTCAATATTACTCATTTGGAAGTTTCTAAGGGGCATTTTTGGATTGTATAGTCTGTAGTAAACAGTTGCTGTAGAATTGATTACCTGGTAGTCTGATATGGGTCAAACTATAACAGTTCTCCTAAAGATTTCCAATTGCTGTTTTTCCAAAGGTGGTGGTGGTGGTTGTTATGTGCTGTCGAGTCCCTTAGGACTCAGAGCAACACCAAATATTTCTTCTAAAGCACCTGCAGTCTCAAATTTCCAGTCTTCTAGGTTAGCAGCCAAACAAATTTGCACTACCCAGGGACTCTAAATATAAAACTGTGGCACTTAAATTTGAAAATAAGTATAAGAAAAATAAAGTTTAAGCCCTAAGCTTTGTGTATTATCCTAATATAGTTTATGTGAAAAAGGTAGGTGACAGATTTTTGAGATTATTATTTTGAATGGTAGTAAGGCATTTGTTTAAATTTTCACTCAAGGAATCTCAGATATAAATACTTAGTTTGTTTGTAGCTTGTTAACAGTTTGCTTCTTGTATGGTGATGGAATAAATAAAAATTCAAGAAATTACATATTTCAGTGTTTCTCCTAGTAGTTCTTCAGTCATTAAAATTCTTATTATTTGAATTTTCAGTAATGTGTTTTATAAAAACTATGTGTTGTTCAAATAGAAATACTGTTACATACTTCCAGGACAACCTATTTCACATTCTAGCATATTAAAAATCATTGATGACATCTTCATAAAAAAATAATATTTTGAGGTACTGAAGTGATTGGTCTTTAATTTCTAAATACACTAAAATATAAAGAGAGGAGTACTTGAACATACTATAGTTAATTCTCAATTTGTCATGAAGTTTTCATACCGCTCTGTTGTAGACTGATTCTGAAAAGTTGACTATATCCTTTTTTATTTTAATCAACATTGCCTTTAATATCTTTACATATATGATCTTTGTGTTTGGATGTTAGAAACATGCATAAGCAGTTGCAAGTAAATATCTCAAAATGTCCTATGACATGGCACATAGTACTATAATTAGTTATAAGATTTACTAAAAAAACAATTGTAAGAATAGTTTTTCATAACATGAATACAGGGTGAAGTGGCAACTACTTGTATATCAAAGCCAAAAATGTCAGTCATTACCACGGAGTCAGAACTCACACACAGCCAATCCTTCAGCAAGTTTACAGATGCTGTAAAGTCCCATGAAAGGAAATTGCCATCTTTATCCCATCATGTAGATTCCATCTTTTGGCTGGCAGCACAACTTCTTATCCACTAGACCACCAGAATTACCGTAATTTTTTTATTTGTAAATCCCCATAATCACAATAATTTACATAAATGTAAATATAAATATATATTTATTGTTGTTGTTGTTATGTGCCATTGAGTCACTGGCAACTCATAAAAACCTTATGTACAACAGCCCTAAGCCCTGCCCTATCCTGTGCCAATCTTATTGTCACCGACACACTTAACCACATGACCCCAGTCACTAAGTTAATCCATCTCATCCAGTCTTCCCCTACTGTGATGTCCCTCCACCCTCCTAAGCATGATGTCCCTCTCCAAGGACTGGTCCCACTTTGCAAATGCCCAAAGCATGTCAGATGAAACTTCAAAATCCTTGCCTCCAAGAAGCAGCCTGTTTTCATCCTCTCCAGGATGAACCTGTTTGTTCTCCTACCAATCCATGGGATATTCAATCTTCTTCTCTAGCACCACAACTCAAAGATGTCAATTCTTCTCTCATCCTTACTCTGATACATAGAAACTAATTGTGAAAACCATGGCCTGGATCTGATGGCCTAGTGGCAAAAGCTGTGCTGACATCCCAAAGGTGGTTTGAGGCCACCAGCTGCTCTGCAGGAGAAGGATGGGCAGTCTCCTCCTGTGCAATTAAATGCCTCTGAAAACTCCCACCTGAGGGTCAACTATGGGTCAGTTCTGATTCTACCATACACAGCAGCAGCAACAATGATAGATAGAGAGCTAGATAGAGAGAAAGAGAGAGATAGGCAGGTAGGTAGGCAGGCAGGCAGAGATAGAGAGATATATCTCCTGGTGGTAAGAAACTGAATTCAAATCCCAAAGGTATGTGAACTGAATCCACCAGTAACTTCATGGGAGAATAATAGGCAGTTTCCTTCCATGTGATTTACTACCTCTTACTACCAAGTATCTCTTTAAAGTACAATAATGTCACTTTTAGGATTAAAGTGCACCTGATCCAAGCAAAATTTTCAGTTGCTTCATAAGCATATAAAAGTTGAACTTTGAATTAGGAAGATATAACAAAACCTAGACAAAGAAGGTGTTATTCGAACAGAACAGAGAAACACTGCATAGCTTGGAATCAGGAAAGGTGTGCATCAGGGCTGTATCATTTCTCTATACCTATTCAGTCTGCATGCTGTGGCATGAGGATTGGGGGAAGACTCAACACCTGGTGTTACACAGATGATACAACCTTACTTGCGGAAAGTGAAGAGAGCTTGAGGTGCTTGCTGCAGATGATGAAGGATGTAGTTTTCGATATGTATTACAACTCAAAATAAAAAAAAATCAAAATTCCTCACCAGTGGGGCAATAGGCAATGACATTATAGATGGAGAGAAGATTGAAATTGTCAACTATTTCATCTTGCTTGGACCCTTAATGATTACCCATGGTACGAACTTTAAGAAGATCTGTAACAATGGGAAAGTTTGCTGTCAGAGACCTCTCTAATGTTCCGAAAAGCAGTGATGTCAGCCTAAAAATTAAGGTATACAATGAAGCTGAGAAAAATTAAACCAAATCCACAGCAGCCAAAATATGACTTCGATTTCATACCACCTGAATTTCAGAATCATCTCAGGAACAGGTT